TACGAATTGAAGGCGAAGGCGAGTGGTGTGACGCACAGTACCACGGCAGGGTTCCGCAGCAGTGGCCGCTGGGTCCGCAGAAACAGCGCGCCGCAACACGTGGGGAGACTCCCAGTCGCATGCCATCCGGTTATCTGTAACGTGTCAGCATAGGATACGGTCGATGCTGACGTACTGCGAGGTGGTAGGCAGGAAGTCGGGCACCGGTATCAGGATCTCAGTCCAGCGAGCCAGTGGAGACGTAAAGAGATGTGCATCGATGGGAAGCACATCTGGGAGGATGTGAGCCAACGGAATGGATCTGCTCTGATGGGTACTTACTTACTTGGTCGCGACCCGGCGGATGTACCCCATGAAGCGCGCGGAAACGCAAGCACATGAGACGCGGCTGTGGATCCTTGTAATCGGTGAAAGTCTGCTGGAAGGAGACCTGGATGTCTGAACTTAAAAACTGGGGGCCACTGTGAAAGCCTCGCTGGATGAGTGAATGCGCACGCAGACGAGGAAGCGTGCATGGGCATGTGAGGGTTAAAAGGTAGTCGAAAGGTGCCGAGGGGTTACTGTGACTGCAGAATGAGCTGGGGAGAAGCGAGGGAGCCGGGGAGGATTGAAACGTAGGGCATTGACGAGCGACGAGATGGGGGGAAAAGAGAAGAGTTGTTTATGAGTATTGTGTTCATTTCCATTTACGGTCACCAACCACTGTTTTGATGGCACGTGGAAGTTGTGCCTGAGTTCAAGGCCGGGGTTTCGGCAACGGACTTAAAAAGTTCCCCATGCTCTTTCGCCTAAATCTCAGTGAAGCCCTCATATATGGTGCACCAAATATCAGTCACTATAACCTCATATCATACCGCATCATTCGGTCCTTCCTCTGGCCCTAGAAAAAAATTGTAACTGTGTTCTAATAGACTAACTTTGGAAATCCAGCTAATTTCGCCGGATTACCCAAAGTTAGCCACTTTGGAAAAGGGCTACCAAATTACTCCTAAATTAGGACAGAAGAATTTTTCCTGATGTACGAGTCCTAAAAATTTATTTTTAGACTTGTTCTTAGTCAGAAGTTTTCCGGCGAGAAATCGCGGTTCTAGCATAATGACGTTCGTCCCACGTGTGAATTGCATTTCCTTTTTTGTAAGTGTCCCGCATGGTTCCATCAATTTTCACGATCTTATGCTGTTCATTTGCTTCGTTGTTCTGTTGTTGTGAAATGTGCCCGCCTTTATAAATCCCGCTACTTTCTCCATCTCTTGGTACTTGTCTTGCTTGCTGTACATTGCCTATATTTTCTTGTTGTCTATTGATCTTCAGTTTCATCAGGAAAAAAGAGTTTACTATGTAGGCACCAGAAGGTCTCAGGGATCAGTAGGCCTTGTAGCTCTTGGCCGCTGATCAGTAGCTCTCGGTAGCCTCAGTAGCTGTCCGCCACGGATCAGTAGGATCTGATAGCTGCCATGCCATCATCATGGATCAATAACTTCCGGGGTCGGGTCAGAAGTAAAATGGTGAATTCTGGCACGCAATATGCCGATTAATGGCTGAACCAGCTCAAACCAACGTGGGGGGGCCGACCTCACCATTCGGGTGGAACCAGGAGAAAATCTTGAGAAAATAATTAAGTTGTTCAAAGTCCGACACACGTGAGTGATGGCGTCAAGATGGCGTGATTGTTTCGACGCCAAACACCGTTGGTTGATAGCTCCTTCTCTTTTCCCCCCATCTTCTCCTACACAAACGACCGGATTGACCGTCGTATCTCGTTGTTGATCAAGTCCCCCTTATCCTTCAAAGCTTGAAGACCCCATCTGGTCCCATTTGCGTTCTCAGCCCGCTCAAATTCTTACCGCGCCAAACTCAAGCTGCTCCGAGTTTGTCTTGAAGCCGTACCACTGCAGCCAAAGCGGATCTTGTATAAGGGTATTGGGTGCTCCCACCAGGTGTTCTCTGGTCTGTTCCTAGCTTTCCCATGCCAAGATTCTGTGTTCTGCACGAAGATGTCCTCAAAACTGGATTTTTGCAAATCCCTCGGACTCAAGTCACTTACAACTTGTTTACCCACTTGCTCTCTGTGGCCAGCAGTCTCCTTCAAGTCGTTCCACATTTCCCAAAGTTCCAGATGGCTCTCGCAAGATATTTCCGTTTCTTTTCGCTTGCACGATGGGTTTGCAGCTTGCGATCTTGAGGTACGTCACAATCATTTTAATTGTCTTCTTTTCTCATGCCTTTCAAGAGCATCGTGTTATGGTCCCCATCAGGATATCGGGTCCTGGTGACGCTCATTCACTAGAGCTGTTTACCTCAAACAGCATTATATTGGATGTCCTCTCGTTGACCATAGCCGAATTGTATATATATCCTAAATTGAGTTATTTTTTGGCACATTTTGTGATTTGCGTGTCATCTATCTCAGTTATGCGATGCTAATGTGCTCTATTCAGCACTATAGAGGTTGGAGTAAAACCAGGTTCCAGGGGTAAGGAGGTTTTTCGGAGGTCTCTGCGCTCAGTCGGGACCTGTACTCCCTCGGCACCACCGCTTCGCCCCGAGCTCCACTCGCCCATTCGTCTTCTCGGCCCCGCCGATCCGCACTGAGCTCCGCTCATACATCATTCTCCAGTAGTTCGGCATTGAGTTCCTGACTCGGTGCTACAGTTGTAGCAGAGGCTGAGTCAGGAGGGAAAACTCAATTCCGGATTGCTTGGCAACGAGCCTCGCTCTTCCGTCCACCATGAGCTCTGCTCCTCCCTGCCGAGCTCCGCTCTCAACTCTCTTTTCACACCTGTCTTTCATGACGATTTCATCCCATCTAAATATGATATCAGAGGCCGTAATGGCTTCCGGCGACTTAACCTCACTTCTGCAAAGTCTCGCACGCCCAGCCACTAGCTCCCCGATTCCATCAGCCGTCCTGTACACTGCACCACACCTCTCCCAGCTGTCTTCTCCCTCCACCGATCCCAACCTTCGCGAAACCCAGAAAATCCACCATGCCATCGCTGCTGATAATTGCTTTGAAGTAGTCATAGACCTCCTCCATGCACAACCATTTGACACGCCCCTCCCCTGGTCTATCGGGAACGGCATCGTTTGGGACAGCCACATTGAGTTCCCGAAGCTCCTCACATCCACCGACTCCACTTACGACCACGCCAACAAACCCGTTGAATTCAGGGGAGATTTTGTGCTTGTCAAACAGCACGAGCTCGTAGCGAGTCGGCCCCTCGCATCGGAATCTGAGTGGTTGAGAATGTTCAGCACTTGGGAAGCCGGTGTGCTTCTCCTCTACCCCCATCGCTGTGACGAGCTGCATGGCTACCAACAGATGGTCACAGAGCTTTTCTGCGCTGTTCCTCGCAAACCACAGGTTGCCATTGACTTCGACGACAAGACTCGTTTCAAGTACTCGAGATCCCCGTTCAGACAACCGGGATCTTTTGTAGCCAACACTCCTTGAGTGTATACTGTCCTCAGAAGCACCATCATCCCCAACCTCCCCCTCGTCTCCAGCTCCCACCAATAAGTGCCACGCATCCTCTCCTCCTCCCAATCCTATGAAACAATCAGTTGTCCCATGCGAAAACTGGAATTTGAGGTGCTGCGAGATCGATCCATGTGAACACGGCCGCTTACATGGTTGCTGCACCGAATGCGGTGATTCTCACTGTGCTCGGGATCAAGAAGATTGTTATTGGTGTCTTCTAGCTCAGCGCAGAGCAGATAACAAGTTTTTCCATCCCGGTTCTGACGTCGGGTCGGACGACTTGCAGTCCGAGCGGGGTTCTCAGTTAGGGTCAGAGAGCGAGGAGGAACCTGGTCTACCAGCCTGATTAATTTTTAATTAAGTTGTTTTCCTTTTTATTTATATTTCCACCTATTCCACGTTGTTCCATCCATTATCCTTTTTCAATTATGTTCGGTAATTGCATTACACTCACTTCAATTTTTATTTATTTAGCTCCTTGCTACATCAACGTCTTTCCCATCATCATATCTACACCACACCCATTTAGCCCTAGCGCTCGTCAGCCTAATAGCCCACACGCACGTCACCATAAACACATTGGGGGCCACTTTGTGTCTTGCCATTGTGCTATTCTGGTTCAACCAACACAGCAGAGGTTGGAGTAAAACCAGGTTCCAGGGGTAAGGAGGTTTTTTGGAGGCCTCTGCACTCAGTTGGGACCTGTACTCCCTCAGCACCGCCGACTCGCCCCAAGCTCCGCTCGCCCATTTGTCTTCTCAGCCCTGCCGATCGGTTCATCCATCATTCTCCCGTAGTTTGGCATTGAGTTCCTGACTCAGTGCTACAGTTGTAGCAGAGGCTGAGTCAGGAGGGAAAACTCAATTCCAGATTGCTTGCAACGAGCCTCGCTCTTCTGTCCACCACAAGCCCCTGCCGAGCTCTGCTCTCAACTCTCTTTTCACCCACCCGCCACTCCCTGTTTCTTTTCTGGTAACAATTCGTTCTTAGCTACTTGTATTATATGTAGAGTAGGTAGCCCACATGCTTGTCACCATACATACATTGGGGGCCGCTTTGCGGCTTGCCATTGCGCTATTCTGGTTTGACCAACACAGCAGAGGTCCACAGCACCTATGAGACCATATGTGATGGCTACCAGCGGCTATCAGATCTTTGCGGAGTGCTATCAGCGCTCCATAGAGGGGGCGGCTATCACAGATATGAGGCCTATCAGATGCTATGTAGTCAGGCTGGTTTTCCCTGATGTTTCAGTTCCTTTATGTCGAATGACTACGATCATGATCGAACGGGGATGCTTCTCCCCGCTCACACTGGGCAGATACACTGACATTACGCTACCCCCGTGATTGAACCATTATAACTTATAGCTATTTATTTATTTATTCTCCACCAGAAGCGAATATTGTACGTCGGAGGGTTTAACAACACATGGAGACGGAAGTGGGGCTTCGGATTCGGACCATGCAGGGGGGAGCCGGAAAGAAAAAAAAAAATCAAAAGTGTAAGGCAAGAACTATGACCCGCCCCCGAATCGAACGGGGATCTTCTGCTTGTGAATCTATTACTGGACGACACGGATGACATTGAGCAGATACACTGGCATTGTGCTAGCAGGTCTTTTCAATGCTTGGTTGAACCAGAATAAGTACGCGAGGAATTTGACTGTTGTGCACGGCCTGAGCAACACAATATTTTCGAGAACGATAATCCTAGGAAAAGTAAGCTACGGTTAAATCCGAATGTGAAGAAGAGGAATGCAAACCGGAGGCGTGCGGCGTGTGAGGAGCAGATCCAACTGAATAAACAGATTTTCCAAACTGGTTTCAACTTATGACCCGCCCCCGAGTCGAACGGGGATCTTCTGCCTGTTGCCCATCCTCACTAGGATTGTGCTATCAGGTCGTCCTACCGCTTCGTTGAACCACAACAAGTGCACAACAAATTGAACTGTCGACAAGATACAGTATGCGGAACTATCCTGCGGAGCATGGGAACACCATAATATCATCCTGACCCCTATCCTCTGAAACAGAACCAGAACCAGAGCGGGTATTGATATTCAGCATGCCCGTCATTCAGGGATGGATGGGCACCAATCAGACCGCGAAATAAAATAAATGAATAAAAAAAGAGATATTTCGATACTACGACCTGACCGCCTGTGAATTCGAATACCTGGTCCTCGTACCTCCCTAGCTCACACGGAGCGGATACACCGACATCGTGCTATGAGGTCTCCTCAACGCTTCGTTGAACCCCAACGAGTGCGCAAGGAATTCGGCTGTCAGACCCGGACAGCGCCGCAGGATCACACAACACACTGACACTCGGTGCGGATTTGCATCACACCAAGATCGATATCAATAAAAACAGGAGCAGCCAGATCTAGAAAGGAATTGAACGGGGCAAAGAAAACTAAAAAAAGGATAACTATAAGCACTGTTGCATCATCATCATCATCATGACCCACCCCGAATCGAACTTGCAGATCTATTATATATGACACGGTCTGCCTCGGCAGATGCACGCACAATCTAAATGAGCTACCAGTCCGAACCGGTCCTCGAACCATAATAAGTGGGCACGGAATTTGACTGTGCACCGCGTTAGCGATAGAAGCGGACATGGCAGTACCAACAGTGTTCAAGCATGACCGTCGATGACCCAAACTCACCCGCCAAAAGAACCGCGCCCGAACCGGCCCCTTCCTCGCCCTTCCTCGCCTTATAATACACCCTCACTCACCCGCGCCCTCACTCAACAATTCAAAAACTCAACACAGAGCAGATACCTAACTAACAACAGCACGTCACTACTCAACGCAGACACACGCTCCTACCCGCGCCGCCCCCCAAACACGAACCCCGCGCCGCCCCCACCCCCCGTAGCGGGCGCCGCGCCGAACGTGAAGCCCTGCGTCGCGGGTGGCGGGGGTGCGGGCGCGGACGCGGGTGCGCCGAAGATCGACGGTGCGTGCGGTTGCGCGGGGGGCTGCCCGAATAGGGACGGTGCGTGGGGCTGTGGGGCGGGGGCGCCGAACATGGACGGCGCGGGCTGCGCGCGCCCGAACATCGACGGCTGAGCGGGCTGCGAGGGTGCGCCGCCGAAGGAGAAGCCCTGCGCGGCGGGCGCCGGGGGTGCGCCGAACGCGGGCTGCGGGGGGGCCGCGAACGGCGAGGGCGCCAGGGTGGAGATGGGGTTGAGGGTCGGCCGGGGGGCGGGGGGGGCGTGGGATGGGGGGTTCGAGGACGTGGCGCCGGCGAATATCTGCGCGGAGGTGAGCTCCGCGCCGGTGCGGAGGTAGGAGAGGCGGAGTTCCTGCGGTGCGGAGAGTAAAATCAATTAGCCCCACAAAATAGGAATACGAATAGGGATAGAAAAGGACAAAGGACAAAACGAACGCACCTCGACGCTGTGCCCCGCAAACTCGGGGCGCGCGGTGATGCTCATGAACTGGTCGCCGTTTTCGGGGAGCGGCGCCCCGCCTGCGCCGGGCCCTGAGCCGAAGAGAATGGAGGGGCCGGCGGCGGCGGCGGGCGCGGATGCTGTGGCGGGGAGGACAAAGGGCGGTGTGCCCGGCGGGGGCGCGCGGGTGTTGCGGAGGTAGGCGTAGTAGCGGAGCTCCTGCGTAACTCTGAGCACGAAGAAGCAAAACAACGAAGGCGGGCACACGCACCTCGGGACTCCAATGCAGAAAGTCGGGCGCGGCCGAGATGCTCGCAAAGGACTCGCCCTCGCCGGGGACGGGCACGGGCGCGGGGAGCGCCTGGGACACGGGCAGGCGCGCGGGGTCCGTGATCCGCGCACTCGTGCTGGCGATGGCGCTCGCACCGCTGCCGCTTGCACTTGCACCGACGCCGAACGGGCCGAACGCACCCGGCGCGGACGAGTCGGGGAACGGCGTCGGCGTGAAGAGCGGCGGGAGGCCCTGCGCGGTGCGGGCGGCGGGCTCCGCGGGGAAGGCGGGCACGGGCGGGGGCGGGCGGCCGGTTGCGCGGTAGGAGGTGAGGTAGTCGGATATGCGGACTTCCTCGAAAGATTGGGAGCTTGGCCCGACGAGGAGGGCAGACGGGAGCGACATGCAGACCTCGGGCGCGGGCGTTGGCTGGCCGAATGCCATCGACGGTGGGGACAGACGGAAGGTTGATACACGTGAGGCGTGACTTCTGTGACTCGTCTGATGCGGTGCCGGTGAACACAATTTTCGAGTGGGTTCATTATCCAATTCTACATGCGTAAGAGGAAACAACTTCATAGTACAATGCAGTGCATCGGCTTCGAATGGCCCGGATGTAAGATTATATACGCAGAAGATCAACACTGTGTATTCGAACACTCAGCAGAAGATCCCGGTTCAACTCACCATTCCCTCAAAGAATCACATCGTTTGCTTCGCAAGGCATCGATCAATTTATCCATCCAGATCTACTCGAAAGTCAAGGCCCTATTGTCGCACTCCTCACCCAGTTACATGGGGTCAGATACAAGAGAAACAGACCTGAGAGCACAATGTCGTGCATCATAAATAGATGATCCCAAATGTGCATTAGAAAATTCAGCAGAAGACCCCGGTTCGAGTCCGGGTCAGCTCGTACACTGACGGCATTAAACCTCTTTTTACTTTCAACAGCACCTTCTTCTGCTCGGCACATACTGGCGTTTTCCACGACCAAAGACATCAATTGACTGACCTGACTTTACTGAGGGCTTTTGTGCACAGCTCATCCTCCCACTTATACGAGGTCATATACAAAGGAAACAGACCTGGTAGCACAGTGCAGTGTGTCTGTTTCGCATATATATGCACCCAGTTTATCGGTTCGACTCCGGGTCAGGTCGTAAATTGGTCGTTGAAACCCCTTTTTGCTCGACCCAGTGCTGAGTTATCCATTCTGGAGGAGAGCACACAGGGTCAAGTGTTTTCCAACGGAACGGCACCACCCTCCTTGCATTTATCATTTAACGGAAACAAAGATCCGCCAATTAAATCGGGGATGGCAATTTAATGTTGATGCTTGCCTATTCTGGTCAGAATGCATGGAAAAGAGACCTAGTAGCACAATGTACTTCGTTTGCTTAAAATTGGGCAGCGATGAAATTGATATATGCGGAAGACCTCGGTTCAACTCCGGGTCAAGTCCTGAGAGCATGAAGTTTATTCCTCACCGACTTCCTCGGTGAGATAAGTAATGCACTGAGATGGTTCAACCGAGGCCTCCGTGCTCCGGTGTATGTATCTTTGCAAGGGAACGGCAGATGTGTGAATCTTTGAACAGAGCAAATTCCTCGCCGCTCGAGCAGGGTCCGCGACAGAGAAAACAGACCTGGTAGCACAATGCAGTGCATCTGCTCTGAATAAACAATCTTGTGCATTCGATGATTCAGCAGAAGACCCCGGTTCGACTCCGGGCCAGGTCATATTGGTTGCGCACAAACCCTTTTGCTTGCCACAGCGCTGAAGGAATTTTCGCCTGTGCTCGACACAGTGACATAGTTCAATTCCCTTTTCCCTCACCAAAGACATCGCCAAAACCTTTCGAGCTCGTTTGTGAAGGTGAAGTCAGGGCCCTGTGAAAAATTTCTCGCCCAGTTACAATGCAAAGGAAACCGACCTGGTAGCACGATGCTGCGCATCTACTTCGAATGCGACAAAGTAATCAACGATCCCGGTTCGACTCCGGGTCAGGTCATAGTGGTGGAATACAGATCATTTTGCTTTCAAAAGCACCAATTGATCGTCAACCTGGTCACCGATATTTACCTTTCCCTCCCCAAAGACATTAACCGACCCTGTGCACTCTCTTATGGAAGGTAGGTGGCCGTGAAGACGGGCTCGAGGTGAAATGCATGGCCACTGCAAATTTCTTGCACAGTTATCTGGGGTTCAGATATGGACAAAGACCATGTAGTACAATGCAGTGCATCTGCATTGAATAAACAAGCTTGTGCATTCGATGATTCAGCAGAAGATCCCGGTTCGACTCCGGGTCAGCTCATGTATGACCCTGCAGATCCTTGGGCTTTGAAGAGCACTGATCGATTTTTGCTTGTGCTCGACAAATGTGACATGATTCACCTTCATGGAAGGTGAATTCAGGCCCGAAGGTTGAAGCTCAAGGCCACTGTACGTTAGTGATACAGGAAAATTGACCTGGTGGCACATGTGCGTTCGAAAATTCAGCGGAAAATCCCGGTTTGACTCAAATAATGTATTAGCTTATCTTAAGATCTGGGAGGTTTGACCGCCACCAGATCTTTAAGTTTCGCATGTCTTTCAGTTCTGCTAATGTAGTGTATTCCGCCGTACCATGGGACTGTAAGGTGATGTTACAATAGAGCCTAAAGTCACTCTGAACTTAAAGTTACTTTGAACTTAGAGTTACTCTGAACTTATAATGTCTGTCTGAGCTTCAGTTTAGTTCACTTAAGACTCGAGTCTCCATGGAACTTAAATTCAAACTTCAATCAAGTACTGCAAAGATTTCAAGTTTTATCCTAGGACCTCATTAGAGATGGTACACTGGGTCCCTGAACAGGGACAAGGGAAGAAGGAGTTTTCAAGGCCTTATATATGCATCCTGGCTACCATGCCACCTATGAAGCCACCTGCTTCAATT